GTCTATGAGATACATGAAATGGAGAGAAAACAGAGGGTTCAGGCATCCTGAAGCAATAAGAAAACGGACACCTTAGATGGGGGACTCAATAAAGGAGGCATGTTTTGTGGGCTATTGAGAGCAATATGAATTGTCTAATTTTATGTTAACTACTGTAATGTCTACGACCGTGGTCATTACACCGCCACTTACACCAGAATATATGGGGGGGGGGTACCCGGTAGGCTTGGTGATCACAGGTGCTGGATCTGAAGCAGATTCACCGCAGAAGGAATTAGACATTAACATTACCGTTGACAAAATTTGCCATCAAGCATCCCAGATGGATGCTGATATATAAAGCAAATTTGTTTATTTAAGGGTTATTGTGTAAATATATTATTTTGCCTAGAGTATTTATCTGACCATCTGCAATCTTCTTAGATTTACCTTCAAAGTCAAGATAGTTTATTTCTGTAAGTGGAAGGCAAATTGTCAGAATTCTCTTTTCTAAGTTAATATTTCATTCAATCTCAATGACTTGGTTTGCTAGTACTGTACATGAAAATAGCCCAAAAAACACCAGCACTAAATCTTTTGTATAAATGAGGAACATCAAGCTGAAATGGTGAGGTGAGGTTATTGGGATGACAGGTTATGCATCTGGTAAAGTATCTTGACTAGGAGTCAGGTGTGAGGTCCATTGTATTTTTTTTTACCCCTAGAGGTCAACTGTAGAGGTTAAAATTTATTCTTTGCATATTATGTGATCTTGGCCAGAGAGGGGTTGACACAAGTAACAGTATGAATTTCGGGAGGTTCCATTTTCTTAAATGCGTGAGCAGACCTTATATTCTATAGGTCTTGCTGACGGTTAGCCAGCAGTACCTGGGGCTGAGAAGACAGAGAGGCAGAGGTGGTACTTGTCAGAGGTTCAGATGAGGTCATTATGAGAATAGGCCAATAGGAGGGATCAGCATGCACCTGGGCTCTCTAAGGTTAGGTCATTCTGGGAACAGAACTGTAAGAGATCAGGTCTGCTGTGACATCACGATATGGTCAGTGTGTGTGTGTCTGTGTAAAGAAGAAAATTCAAAGCCAGGCCTGTGGGTTCAAAGCCAAGCCCCTCAAAAATGGCTTCCAGAAGCAAAAGCCAGCTTCAGCCCCATGTTTGCTGGGCACCACCTTAAAACCTGTAATATTTTGAAGGGATCTACTAATATGTTCATTTTCATGTACTACAGGTATAAAATAATAATTTTGTCTGGGTGAATGGAAAAATATGAATTTGCAAAGATCATACAGTATTTGCATGTCCTTGCAAAGCATCGAGTCTCTTATGTTTATGATCAAGTTACCAAGCTATGTCACATCTAATAACAGATAAAATGAACCACCAAGACCTATTTTAACAATCTTAGATTATTTTTCAGTTAGTTGTGGTTGGTATGTTGTCTGACCCAATCATTAACAGACAAAACACAAGTTATATGGACACTTTATCATTACCTGTATTTTTGTATTTTCTTTGATGCAATTTCCAGGCAATCGTTTGGTCCCTATGGGAAAGTGTACCCTCTTCCTCCTCGTCCCTTCATTGATGTGTATAAACTGACCTTTTCCTGCAGGTACGTATACTAAAGGACCTGAACCATGCCAGTGCAATACATTACAGTATTTAATTTTGACAAGCATTTTTCTTGCTCTGTTCAATTTTAACAGCATCACAATACTGTATGTTATAAACACAACATAGAATTAATTTATCAGGCCCTTGATATATTTTTCTTGATCTAAAAAGACTGTTATAATATTTTATTACAGAAAATGGTGGAAGTGCGAGCTCAAGTGTTAGGTGGGCCAGTGCACCTTGCAGGTGACACAGTACAGGTCTGCATCACCATCACAGTTCCCTCATTAGATCCAGCTCTTCGAGCTCAGTCTAGGTAAGCTGCTCAGTATTTTATTATTAGCAAACTCTTGAATGAAGATAAATATTAAGAAAACAATAGCATTCATCAATATGTGATGCATTCTGCTATTCCATATTTTCCTTTACATTTTTACCATACCGTATATCTCGGCTTATAAGACGGAATTTGAACATTAAAAAAATCTGCCCAAAGTTAGGGGGTCGTCTTAATCACCAAGTATAAAATTCTTACCTCTTAAATATTGCGGTTTAGCGTGTCAAGAGTGGTGATGGAAACATGGTAAACCACTCACAAAGTCCTACCATTAATTATTTTATACTGAAACTTACGTTTGGGAAGCTGGATTAAAATGAAGATTACCGGTATATTAAAATAATAAAAATGTATTATAAACCAGTCTAACATACCGTAATAAACACAGCTGCTATTATCATCCCCCCCACCCCCATTTGCCAGTGACAAGAAAGGGAAAGTGACCTTGACTGTGACCGCCTGTGGCTATTTTTAGCCGTCCTTGTGTTCGGAGGTGGTCAGTAATGCATATCTGTATATTTACTGATCATAATACTTATCTCCTATAAATAATT